CATCATTAGTGAACTCCCATTCACAATTGCTACAAAAAGAATAAAATACCTAGAAATACAGCTAACAAGGGATGTGAAGGACCTCTTCAAGGAGAACTACAAACCCTTGCTCCAGGAAATAAGAGAGGACACCAACAAATAAAACAAATAAAAAAAATCCATCCTTATGAATAGGAAGAATCAATATTGTAAAAATGGCCAGACTACCAAAAGTAATTTGTAGACTCAATGCTATTTCCATGGACATTCTTCACAGAAAAAACGACTTTGAATTTTATATGGAACCGAAAAAGAGCCCGTATAGCCAAGAGACTCCTAAGCAAAAAGAAGAAAGCTGGAGGCGTCGCTACCTGACTTCAAACTATACTATAAGGCTGCAATAACCAAAACAACATGATACTGGTGCCAAAACGGATATGGAGACCAATGGAACAGAACAGATACCTCAGAAATAACACCACACATCTACAACCATCTGATCCTCAACAAACCTGACAAAAACAAGCAACGGGGAAAGGATTCCCTATTTAATAAATGGTGTTGGGAAAACTGGCTAGCCATGTGCAAAAAACTGAAACTAGACCCCTTCCTTACACCTTCTATAAAAATTAACTCAAGATAAAGACTTAAAGGTAAAACCCCAAAGCATAAAAACCCTAGAAGAAAACCTAGGCAATACCATTCAGGACATAAGCGTGGGCAAAGACTTCATGATGAAAATGCCAAAAGCAATTGCAACAGAAGTCAGAATTGACAAGTGGGATCTAATTAAACTAAAGAACTTCTGCACAGCAAAAGAAACTATCATCAGAGTGAACAGGCAACCTACAGAATGGGAGAAAATTTTGCAATATACCCATCTGAAAAAGGTCTAATATCTAGAATCTACAAGGAATTTAAATTTACAAGAAAAAAACAACCCTGTCAAAAACCAGGCAAGTATATAACAGCATTTCTCAAAAGAAAACATTTATGTGGCCAACAAACATGAAAAAATGCACATCATCACTGGTCATTAGAGAAATGCAAATTGAAACCACGTTGAGATACCATTTCACCCAGCCAGAATGGCGATTATTAAAAAGTCAAGAAACATACCGGCAAGGCTCTTGAGAAATAGAAATCCTTTTACACTGTTAATGGGAATGTAAATTTGTTCAACTATTGTGGAACACAGTGTGGCAATTCCTCAAGGATCTAGAACCAGAAATACCATTTGACCCAGCAATCTCATTATTGGGTATATAACCAAAGGATATAAATTATTCTACTATAAGGACACATGCACATGTATTTTTATTGAAGCACTATTTATAATAGCAAGGACATGGAACCAATCCAAATGCCCATCAATGATAGACCAGATAAAGAAAATGTGGCACATATACACCGTGGAATACTATGCAATCATAAAAAGGAATGAGATCATGTCCTTTGCAGGGACATGGATGAAGCTGGAAGCCATCATCCTCAGCAAACTAACACAGGAACAGAAAACCAAACACCGCATGTTCTCATTCATAAGTGGGAGTTGAAAAATGAAAACACATGGACACAGGAATGGGAACAGGACAAACTAGGGCCAGTCAGGGGTTGTGGGATGAGGGGAGGGATAACATTAGGACAAATAGCTAATGCATCGGGGCTTAAAACCTAGATGATGGGTTGATAGGTGCAGCAAACCCCTATGGCACATGTATACCTATGTAACAAACCTACACATTCTACACTTGTATTCCAGAACTCAAAGTAAAAAAAAAGAAAAGAAAAGAAATAAAATGTGCTATTCTAGTGAGGACATACGTGATAAGAAAGCAAAACAGCTTTCTTGCTGATATGGAGAAAGTTTGAACGGTTGGAGTAGAAGATCAAACCAGCCACAACATTCCCTTAAGGAAAGCTGAGTCCAGAGCAAGGCCCTACTCTTTTCAATTCTGTGAAGGCTGAGGGAGGCGAGGAAGCTTCAAAAGAATAGTTGGAAGACGGTAGAGGTTGGTTTATGAGGTTAAGAAGAGCAGCTATCGCCAGGCGCGGTGGCTCATGCCTGTAATCCCAGCACTTTGTGAGGCCGAGGCGGGTGGATCATGAGGTCAAGAGATCGAGACCATCCTGGTCAACATGGTGAAACCCTGTCTCTACTAAAAAAAAAAAAAAAAAAAATGCAAAAAATTAGCTGGGCATGGTGGCGCGTGCCTGTAATCCCAGCTACTCAGGAGGCTGAGGCAGGAGAATTGCCTGAGCCCAGGAGGCGGAGATTGCGGTGAGCCGAGATCGCGCCATTGCACTCCAGCCTGGGTAACAAGAGTGAAACTCTGTCTCAAAAAAAAAAAAAAAAAAGAAGAGCAGCTGTCTTCATGATATAAGCAAGCGCTGATGCAGAAGCTGTAGCAGGTTACCAACAAGAGCTAGCTAATTTAGGAAAGTGGCTTCATGGAACACAGATTTTTTATAAAGATCAAACAGCTTTCTATTGGATAAAGATGCTGTCTAGGACTTCGATACCTAGAGAGAAGTCAATACCTGGCCTGGCCTCAATGAAGGACATGCTGAATTTCTTGTTAGGGGATAATGCAGCTAGTGACTTAAATTGGAAGGCAATGCTTATTACCATGCCAAAAATCCTAGGACCCTTAAGAAATATGCTAAATCTACTCTATGCTCTGTAAATGGAACAAAAAATCTGAGTGTATCACATCTGTTTACAGCATGGTCGACTGACCCTTTTAAAACCCACCTTTGAAAGCCACTGCTCAGGAAATTAATTTTTTTCAAAATATTACTGCTCATGGACAATGCCTGTAGCCACCCGAGCTCTGATGGGATGTATAAGAAGATGAATGTTGTATTCGTGCCTGCCAATGCAATATTTATTCTACAGCCCATGGATTAAGGAATCATTTCAATTTTTAAGTGCTGTGATTTTTAGAAATCCATTTTATACAGCTGCCATAGATAGTGATTTCTCTGATGGATCTGGGCAAAGTAAACTGAAAATCTTCCGGAAAGGATTCACCATCTAGATGGCACTCACAACATTTGTATCTCAGTAGGAGAGGTCAACATGCCAACATTAATAGGGATTTGGAAGACATTGCTTCCAACTCTCCTGGATGACCTGGAGGGGAAGTAACTACAGATGTGGTAGAAATAGCAGGAGAACGAGGCTTAGAAGTACAGCCTGAAGATGAGACTCAATTGCTACAATCTCACAATAATACTTGAATGAATGAGAAATTTCTTCTTATAAATGAGCAAAGAAAGTTGTTTCTTCCAATGGAATCTACTTCTGGCAAAGATGCTGTGAGCACTGTTGAAATGACAATAAATATCCATGAAGTTGATAAACTTTATCAACAAACATGAACTCAGTTGATAAAGAAGTGGCAGGATTTGAGAGAATTGACTCCAATGTTAAGTTTTACAGTAGATAAAATTTTATCAATAACATTATATACAACAGGGGAATCTTTTGTGAAAGAAAAAAAATTAATTGATGTGGCAAAATTCATTGTTGTCTTATTTTATGAAATTGCCACAGTCACGTCAATCATCAGCAGCCATCGCTCTGATTGGTCAGCAGCCATCACCTTGGAGGCAACACCCTCCAGAAGCAGAAAGATGATGACTTGCTGAAGGCTCAGTTAATTGTTAGCATTTTTTTTTTAGCAATAAAGTATTTTAAAATTAAGGTACATACCTTTTCTAGACGTGATATTATTGTACTTTTAATAGACTACAGTAAACATAACTTTTATATATACTAGGAAGCCAAAAAATACATGACTTGCTTTATTGGGATATTTGCTTTATTGAGCTTCTATTTGGTCTGGAACAAAACCTGAAATATATCTGAGGTATGCCTGTAATTGAAACCATGAGAGTGGCTGAGATTGTTCTGGGGAGTCTGTAGAGCAAAAAGAGCAGTGAGTCTTTTATAAATGCAGTGAGAGGCATTTAGAGTAATAGTCTCTGTTTTACCAATGAGAAAATTGAGGCCTGGCACCAGAGAGATTTTGGGATTTTCCTATATAGCTGAGGAGGGGAAACTAGAACTGGAAACTAGGTCTCCTGATTCCAAGTCACTGTTCCTTCTATCATATTGATCTCAAAATAACACTTCTAATTTAGGGGAAACTTGCAGGTAATTTGCTTTAGAATGCCCCTGGAGATAATCCAATTATTGATATATGTCTTTTTTGTCTGAATTCTGTAGAAACAAATTTATCAATTATTTTATCCACGTTTATATTGTTCTAGGATGAGAGTTACTTTAAAATTTTTTATGCAGCAATAAAAAATGATGAGTTCGTGTCCTTTGTATGGACATGAATGAACCTGGAGAAAATCATTCTCAGCAAACTGACACAAGAACAGAAAATGAAATACTGCGTGTTCTCACTCATAGGCGGGTGTTGAACAATGAGAACACATGGACACAGGGAGGGGAGCACTACATACTGGGGTCTGTTGGGGGGAATAAGGGAGGCACAGTGGGGGGTGGGGAGTTGGGGAGAGATAGCATGGGGAGAAATGCCAGATATAGGTGAAGGGGAGGAAGGCAGCAAATCACACTGCCACGTGTGTACCTATGCAACTATCTTTCATGTTCTTCACATGTACCACAAAACCTGAAATCCAATAAAAAAATTAGATAAAAAATTCTTTGATTCTAAGTCCATGGTAGGTTTATGTAAAACTATAAGAAATCTATAACTTTTATACGTTTATGAAATGATTAGCAGATCAAGTCTGTTATTTGTGCCCAAAGAGCACAGGAACTTTTGGGCATATAAGCAGAGAATGAATGTCAGGGTGTTGCTGTAGTCACAGAAAAGAACTCGGTATCATTAGCACGTGTTTTAATCACTTGTCTAACCATAGAGAATAGTAGCGTAGATTCTACCATGTTAGGGCAGTAGTGGTGATCTATGAAATAAGTTTTATTTACTCCTTAATAACTGTTGTTAACTCAGTCATTTTTATGTTTTTGTTTTCCGTAGAAACTGACTTATGCAAAGGAAACTGTAAGCAGGTGAGTGTCTCTTTTTCCCAGAATTCATGTTTGGCAACACAGATGTATCATAACCTAATTCAAGACTCACCCCAAATTTAATGGTGCCTTTGTATTCTCTTGTCAGTTGGCAATGACCAAGCCTGTGGATAAGTCCCAAATGTTTTTCCTCATTCCCAGGCTACCTTTCTTTCCAGACCACCACGGCCACTGTGCGTGTTTGCTGTCTGACCTTATTATGAGGCAAACTTGCTCCTCTCTTAGATAAGAAAACAGATTTATGGTTTATATGGAATGACCTATTGTTGTTGAGGTTTAAAGGCAAATGATGAAATTGTTCTGAAATGGTACACCACAGTGGAGGATAGGTTATTAAATGATGGGTGGTGCTATGGACCAACTTATCGACTATTGATGATTATGATCTTGAAACATAGGAATAGCATAACCTTGATGAATCTATCAACATTATGATTCTTGACTCCGTTTACCATTAGGCTTAGGGCTAAGGTCTTTTCTGGTTTCTGGGAAGCAGTAGTACAAAGAAGAACACAAAAATTGAGGGATTTTGAGCCTATAGGGGCTAAACCTTTCCAATTCTATTTATCCTCAGAGTATCTAACCTATAATAGCATGTGGGTAGTTATATAGGAAAGTACCACTAGAACATACAATCCAGGTCAAAGTCCAGAATTTTGCCTCAAATTAGAAAGAAGGACAGATTGAAAAACCAAGTAGGTGAGTCACTGTCCAGAGATTCAGCCTGGGCAGCAGAGTCAGGGCAAAAGCATAATTGGAATATATATGTAGGTGGTAGTGGGGTGTATCCTGGTTTCAAATTGAACACAAGTGAGTAGGAGAGAAGTGGAACTCTGTATAGTCTTATTCACACAGCCAATGCCACTGAGTCTATACCAGGGCATGGGATTGAGCATTTACTTAAATATGGGGCCATGTGGTCTTTTATTCTGTTTTATATTTTATATTTATTTAGAGACAGGGTCTTGCTCTGTCACCCAGGCTGGAATGTGGTGGCATGATCACAGCTCACTGCAGCCTCGACCTCCCAGACTTAAGTGATCTTCCACTTCAGCCTCCCAAGTAGTTGGGACTGCAGGAACACACCATCAGGCCCAGCTAATCTTTTCATATGCTTTTGTAGAGAGAGGGTTTTGTCATGTTGCCCAAGCTAGTGTTGATCTCCTGGGCTCAAACAATCAGCCGGCCTCAGCCTCCCAATGTATTGGGATTGATTATAGGCGTGAGCGACTGCGCCTGGCTGGGTGTGGTTTCTTCACCACAGAAGCAGAGCTCAGAGACAGTGAACTAAACATCTGTAAATCTATAGTTCCAGTGATCGAACAAGAAGGAATCTTAGAGGTCGCCTCATCCAACTTTCACAGTCTATTGGTTCAAGTAACTTCTCTAATCTCCCTTTCAGTTCATTGTGCCCAAAGCTATGTCAATCATTTCCTCACAAATCTGTTTTTTTCACTGTTCCTCTCATCAGTGAATGAATGGTATTATCATCCATCTAATTGCTCATATTATTTTCTCTTGCTTTCTCTCTTCATTCTCTTCTCCTAATTATCTCTTGATTCCATCCATTTCTCTCTGCCCTCACAGTCCCTACACTGAGTCACATGATCAACACTTGTTTCCTGGTATAAAGCCTTGCCAGGAGGTCTCTCTACTTCCTTCTGAGCCCTCCTCTCCACCCTGGCCACAAATCTTCAAAAGAATAAATTTGATCATGTTCCTCTCCTCTATAAGACAATTTAATAGTTCCTTCTTGCTTTTTTTTGAGAGAAAATTATAAACTTTATTGAAAGATATGTCAAAGGCCTAACTAAGTAAATAGAGAGCTATACCATATTCATGGGTTGGAAGACAACATTGTAAAGATGACATGGCTCACCAAATTAATCTATACATTCAATACAAATCCAATCAAAATTTCAGCGTTCTTGGGTTTGATTTATAACTTGTTGATCTACTTCTAGAAGTTATATAGAAGAGCAGATGACTAGGCCGGGCGCGGTGGCTCAAGCCTGTAATCCCAACACTTTGGGAGGCCGAGGCGGGTGGATCACGAGGTCAAAAGATCGAGACCATCTTGGTCAACATGGTGAAACCCCGTCTCTACTAAAAATACAAAAAATTAGCTGGGCACGGTGGCGCATGCCTGTAATCCCAGCTACTCGGGTGGCTGGGGCAGAAGAATTGGCTGAACCCAGGAGGCGGAGGTTGCGGTGAGCCGAGATCATGCCATTGCACTCCAGCCTGGGTAACAAGAGCGAAACTCCGTCTCAAAAAAAAAAAAAAAAAAAAGAAGAGCAGATGACTTAGAATAGCCAAGACACTCCAAGGAAGAAAAATTTGTGGTGATTCTGGAGACAGAGGTGAGATTGGTCAAAATTACAACAAAATGTAGAGGCACCTTGGTTTTTATCAAGACCTTTTTCTAAAGTTGTAATAATCAGGACTGTATTGTACTGCTACAAGATAAGACAAATTGACATGGGTCAGGATAGAAGCCATCAAAATACCCAAGCATGTAGACAAACGCTTAATTCATGAAAAAGAGGCAGTATTACAAATCACTGCAGAAAGGATGAACTTTTCAGTAAATAGTGCTGAGACAACCACTTTGCCATATGAAAAATATTAAATTGAATTTCTAACTCTTAATTTTTACAAACTCTTTTTTTACAAAAAGCAGTTCAGGGCAGACTAAAGACAAATATGAAAGAAAAAACTGTAAAACTTCTACAAGGCACTAAAGAATATATTTATGACTTTGGGTAGGAAAGGATCTCCCCACAAACCAACTAGTATTCAGCTTTATATTATACTTTTTAAAAACATTTATTTTCAGCAGGAAATAGTCAACAGTTTACAATTTCCAAACTCCCCTCCTCTGAAAGTCACTGTAAAAGTTGACAATGCATTTTGTTGCTGCTCTGAACACAGATATTCAGAGAGGGTGGACACTTCACATGAGGCATGTATGAACTTTTCACAGGCCCTCTTTGATGTGGAGGAAATAAAGTAAAACCTGCAGGATGAATCCACAAACTAAAAACAGGCATCTTGGCTCTTTAGAGTGACACCATTTCGATGTCATCACCGGAGAGCCTGGGTTTTGTTACCTAACACAGTTGATTTTAGGGCTGCCAAGGCTACATCAAGACTTTTGGTTTAAGGAAGTTAAGTCTATGCTGATGGCATCAGGGAAGGAGAAGATGTGAAGCTTTGCTTTCCTACGCTGTAAGGCTTCTGGGCCCAAGTGGCTGACATGGGAATGTCAGAGAATCTCTCCTGGGAATCAAGAACAACCTTCAAACACCGGGACAGAAAATCGTATTTTCCCCTGTTTTAATTCCGTTTCTGAGATACAACCTATTAGTGGTATTTGCCCTTTCCACAAAAGACAATCATGAAGTATCCTGTGTGCTAACAACACTTTCAAAAGTGAGCCAAACTTCTACAGTTTTATAAAACTTGATTTAAAAAAATAGTATTTCAAACAGTAGAGTCACTATGAGTACAGAACTATCAAAACTGTGCATTTCCCTTGGCATCCCCAGTGCCTTCTGCTTTCTGGGACTAGAGTGCAGTGGCATCTCAGTTTTTCCCAGGGTTGTTCCCATCCTTGCCAGCATCTGCTTCTGCCTTTCTCCCTTTGGGCAGCTTCTCTCCCTTCTTTGCAGGGGCCTTTTTAGGCCTGGGATCTGGTTTTGGAGGAGCTGGTTTAGCAGACAACCTCGCCGATCTCCTCTGTGGCTCGTCCTTCACCTTTGCTTTGTCACCTTTAGCATCTCCTTCTGCCTTTCTCTTGGGCATGGTGGCAGCAGTGTCGGCAGGTGGCTTAAGAAGTCCTGGTGGGCGCTTCTGTCTTCCTCACACTGCTCCTGGAAAGATGTCAGAGTCTCGTGACCGTGCGAGGGGCGCGGAAATCCCAGCTGTGTCCCTGGCAGCCCCAGAGCCCTAGGTGTGGGCAGGGCTAGCACCCTCCCTGAGATCTCCTCATTGCTTTTTAAGATCAAAATTAACAGCCGGGCGCGGTGGCTCACGCCTGTAATCCCAGAACTTAGGGAGGCCGAGGCGGGTGGATCATGAGGTCAAGAGATCGAGACCATCCTGGTCAACATGGTGAAACCCCGTCTCTACTAAAAATACAAAAAATTAGCTGGGCGTGGTGGTGCGTGCCTGTAGTCCCAGTTACTTGGGAGGCTGAGGCAGGAGAATTGCCTGAACCCAGGAGGTGGAGGTTGCTGTGAGTCGAGATCGCGCCATTGCACTCCAGCCCGGGTAACAAGAGCGAAACTCCGTCTCAAAACAAAACAAAACAAAACAAACAAACAAACAAAAAAAGATCAAAATTAACATGGCCCACAAGGCTCTTCACCATTAGGCCTGTGCCCAGCCTCATCTCAGTTTCCTTCTTAAACTCTATGGTTCAGCTGCTCTTTTTTAGAATACTCTTGGGCCATTATGTTTCCATGTATGTTGCCCGGCTAATTCACTTTGCTTTTTAAATTTCATCCTTTCCATCATTTCCTCTAGGAAGTCTTCCATGATGCATGATCCCCTCCTCCAGAAAATCTGGATTTACTCTTGCTCACCCTTATATTTATAGGGCCTCAAACACTGCTTGGCTCATAATAAGTGCTGGATAAATACAGACAGTCCCCAACCTCTGATGGCTCAGTGATTTTTTGACTTTACAATGGTGCAAAAGTGATGCATATTCAATAGAAATTGTACTTTGAGTACCCATGCAATCATTCTGTTTTTCATTTTCAGTACAGTGTTTAAGAAATGACATGAGATATTTAGTACTTTATTATAAAATAGGCTTTGCGTTAGATGACTTTGCCCAACTATAGGCTGATGTAAGTATTCTGAGTATGGTTAAGGCTAAGTTATGATGTTTGGTAGGTTAGATGTTTCAGTGCATTTTTAACTTAACAGTATTTTCAAATACGAATGGCTTTTTTGGGAAGTGATCCCATCATAAGTCAAGGAGCATCTGGAATTATGAAATGAATGAGTGAATAGTTATCACACAGCTAGTGAATGGTGACACTAAGATTTGATTTCAGATTCTCTGACACCATGTTTAGTGCTTTGTACAGGGCTTTCTGCTGTCTCTCATCTATGTTTAAAATCTGTTCACAACCTTAGACTATAACTTAAGAAATAAGAAACCTCTGTAAATGCACCTGTCTTATAGGGCAGATTGCTTTTACTGGAATAATAAACTGAAATAGTTGCGAGCTTAGTCTTATAGGTCTGGAAGAAGGATCCAACTTTGCTATGGTTGAATAACATTTGTTATTAAATATATTTTCGGAGAGCACTCTGTCAGCTCTTATATAACCCAAGGTCACCTAGATGATCAGATTATCATTTATCCCATACTTCTGGCCTGAGTCAAGGGTCAGAGTGTAATTTTTATTGAGGCCACAAAATCTTTTTCTTTGAAGAAATAGATTGTGAAACTTTGAACAACTTTCAACAAGTAGTGAAGAGTTAATTGCATGAACACTCATGTATGTGTCTGAAGCAAATACTTATGAAACAAAATGTAGACCATGCTAAGGGATAAATGCACTGCTGTGAAATAGTAATGAGACTGAAACTTGGAGAGAGGTGAAGTAACATTATCAAACATGTAATAGCATTTTAACATTTATTGATTGCTTACAGTATACTAGATACTTTACATATATTATTCAATCATCTGAGTTTAACCCTCTGAATTATGTACTTTTACTATCTTTTTTGATAGATAAACAAACAGTATTAGGGTTGAAATAACTCAAGGTAATCCAGCTCATCTGATTCTTAAGCATCTGGTTTTTAACCTCTATTAATACTGCCTTTTACTATGTAAAATATGTTACCCCACTTAATTATTACAACCACCACCAAAAACCTAAGTTAGTAACACCCTTACAGGAATCCAAAATATGAATAAAATCAGTACTTGCACAAAGTATCTAAAGCCTGACTCTTCCTGAAAAACCTACCATGTAGCCTTTAGCAGGTTTCTGCAAGATCCTGGCAAATGAATAAAAAAAAGTATCTTACTCATGTTTGTAACCCTAGTAGATAACAATCTTGAAGAAATGAATTGTTTTAGGATTCCGTGTAAGCTCTGCGTTAACTAGCACCAAACTTGTATGTAATATAATCTTAATAGGAACAGTTCGTATTGCTTTGGTTGACTTTGTTTAACCAATCAGATCGATATCAAAACATACTTGTGTTGGAAGTGTGTATGTATACATAAGCATGTGTACATGCATATGTGCACACACATACACAGATACATAGAGAGAGGGAAGAGAAATCAATTCAAAAGGACAACTTTAAAAAAATTTAATTTTAATTTTAGATATAGGGGATACATGTGTAGGATTGTTACATGGGTGTATTGGACCCAGGTAGTGAGCATAGTACCCAATATGTAGTTTTTCAACCCACACCCTGCTGCTCTCTAGTAATCCACAGTGTCTATTCTTCCCATGTTTATATCAATACATGCTCATTGTTTACCTCTCACTTATTAGTGCAAACATGCAGTATTTGGCTTTCTGTTACTGAATTAATTCACTTGGGATTATGGCCTCCAATTCCATCCATGTTGCTGCAAAGGGCATGAGTTCATTCTTTTTCCTGGCTGCATGGTATTCCATGGTGTATATGTACCATATTTTCTTTATCTAATCCACCATGATGGACATGTTGATTGATTCCATGTTTTTGCCATTATGAATAGCTAGTGAGAACATGTGAGTGCATGTCTTTTTGATTTAATGATATGGGATTGCTGGTTCAAATGGTAGCTCTGTTTTAAGTTCTTTGAGAAATTTCCAACTGCTTTTCACAGTGGCCAAACTAATTTACTTTCCCACCAATAGTATGTAAGTATTTCCTTTTCTCTGCAACTTCAACACCATCTGCTATTTCCTGATGTTTTAATAGCCATTCTGACTGGTGTGGGATGGTTTTCCATTGTAGTTTTGATTTGCATTTCTCTGAGGATTACCGACGTTCAGCATTTTTTCATATATTGACCTCATATGTTTTCTTTTGAGAAGTGTCTGTTCATGTCCTTTGACTACTTTTAATGGGTTATTTGTTTTTTGCTTGTTGATTTGTCTAAATTCTGGATATTAGGCCTTTGTCAGATGCAGAATTTGTCAATATTTTCTTCCATTCTACAGGTTATCTGTTTAGTCTGTTGATAGTTTCTTTTGCTATACAGAAGCTCTTTAGTTTAATGAGGTCCCATTTGTCAATTTTTTTTATTGTTGCAATTTCTTTTGGGGGCTTGGTTATCAATTCTTTGCAAAGGCCAATGTTGAAAAGGGTATTTTCTAAGTTTCCTTCTAGAATTTTTATAGTTTGAGGTCTTACATTTAAATCTTTAATCCATTTTTAGTTAATTTTGGTATATAATAAGAGATAGAGTTCCAGTTTTTTTTCTTCTGCATATGGCTAGCCAGTTATCCCAGCAACATTTATTGAATGAGGAGTCCTTTTTCCATTGTTCATTTTTGTCAGCCTTGTCGAAGATCAGATGCTTATAGATGTGAAGCTTTATTTCTGAGTTTTCCATCCTGTTCCATTGGTCTATGTGTCTGTTTTTGTACTAGTACCATGCTGTTTTGGTTATTGTAGGATTATAGTATAGTTTGAAGTTGGATAGTGTGATGACTATAGTTTGTTCTTTTTGCTTAGAATTACTTTGGCTATTCAGGCTCTTTTTTGTTCTACATGAATTTTAAAGTAGTTTTTTCTAATTGTATGAAGAATGACAGTGGTAGTTTGACGGGAATAGCATTGAATCTGTAAATTGCTTTGGACAGTATGGCCATTTTAATGATATTGACTCTTCCAATACATGAGCATGGGACTTTTTTGATTGATTAACTTTGGGTGTGACCAAGGTAGCCACACTGTAAATTTTGCAAAGGCGATGGGACCGACTCAAGATGGCACGGTGAGAACAACCCAGGATTGAAGCTCTCGGTGAATGCGGGTGAGTCAGGGCCGCATTTCCAGACGGATCTTTGTTGCCCACAGAATGGGGAAATTTTCGGGTGTAAAAGAGACGCAGAACGTGAGCACAGTGGTTTTGGCTGGTGCAGCTGACGGCTGGTACAGCCGGTGCTGCAGCGCAGCGGCGCTCCACAGTGCTCCGCACAAAGCGCACTGGTCCAGGTGCCCTGTTGAACCAGCAATCTGAGACTTGAGAGGGCAGATTGGCATATTCATCTGATTGATTGGGACTTGGACAGTGAGCCAGGCCTGGAGATTCCAGGGAAACAGCGTTTGGGCCAGCGCAGTGGGACAAAAAAACCAGCAATTCCAAACGCTCTGGGTGGAGAGTTTCACTGCGGGCACAGCTGAACCCAGGATGGTGCAGCTCGGTGGGGGAGGGGCGTCCGCCATTACCGAGGCAATCCGCCCCTACTGAGGAACACTCCCATTGCTGATGCAGCCTGCCATTGCCAAGGCAACCTGCCACAACAGAGATACTCTGCCACAGGGCATAGCCCGTGGCAGCAGGGTGGAGACCACAGCAGCAGGGCAGACCTCACACCAGCAGGGCGGAGCCTCGGCAGGCAAATAGTGCTTAGACTGCCTCCTAGCTGGGCAGAACAGTGCAATGGACACTCATAAAGAAACTCCCAACGCCCTGAGACAGAGCATCTGAGAGAAAAAGGGTTTTTTTATGAGTTCTGCTGCAGCAGAATGAAACGTAGCAGACTAACAGCCCTGAATGAACAACAGAGCTCACAGCTCAGCACTTGAGCTCCTATAAAGTACAGACTGTCTCCTCAAGCAGCTCCCTGACCCCTCTATATCCAGAAGACTGACATTTGGCAGGCATCAT